GAGAGGAGCTGCAGAGACACAGGATGGAGTGAGAAAGGTGGAGCCAGGTAAGGCTAACAAAGCGCCAGCGCCAGACCCTGGAGGTCAAAGTCAGTGTTTTGTGGCGCTGGAGAGCCATGCAGCCTTGGAGGTGAAAGTGGCCTCGGCAGAGCCGGGCTTCGGGAAGGTAAAGATCAATGCATTAGAAGAAGAAGGAATCTGGCGAGGGGGTCGGAGGGCTCACCCGCACACCCCACCCCCGGGCAGCTCACCCGGAACTCCATGTCCAGGTAGCTGTTGGACACCACGGGGTCCTTCAGGAGGGAGTAGTCAATGCCCACGAGCTCATCCACGGCACTGCGCACTGCAGGGAGGCCGAAGTCACCCGCAGCCTTGGCGTCCCCAGGCCTCGGCCACTGAGCGGGGACTTTTCCCTCATGGCGTGGTCAGGGGATCGAATTCGTTTTAACAGGAAGACACTGAGTGCATAGTGTGTGGCAGGTGCGCCCTGATGTCACCTGTTATTATTATTATCACTACTTCAGGAGTTTCAGGAAATCCCTAAGCAAGATGGCAAAGGGTTCTTTCCAATCCTCGGCATCCCCTGCCCCCGCCTTCCCTTCCCACGCCCTGCGACTTTTGCCAGAGGTCACGGCTGAGAACAGGCCATTCCTGCTAGGCGGTCAAGGCAAAGGCAAGGACAATTCTCACAGCTGCCTCCAGGGGGAGCCATTGCCAACCACAAGAGGAATCCAAGGGGCAGAAGTACTCACCTGAGGTCACAGGGCAAGCCAGCAGCAGAGGCCACATTGGGACCCGGGACTGCTCCACGCTGCGGGCCCCTGTGCCCCCAGCCTGCTCCTCACCCCACACCTACTCCAGGAACTTGGCCCAGAGCTCCCAGCCCCGCTAGTGCCAACTCACCGGGTACAGTGTCCAAGAGGGAGTTAAGCAGAACCATGCCTGCGTGGTAGAGCACCGGGCAGATCTGGGAGGTGGGGCCAGGGTCAGGGCCCGCTCCGGAGAGGGCACGCCCCCCCGCTGCCCCCTCTCCCCCCCACCACTGCCCACACCTGCAGGTTGAGGAGGAAACGCATCCCGGAAGTGATGAACGTGGAGAGAAACTCGTACACTTTCCTGCCAGCAGATGAGAGATCGGGTGAGCCCAGACCCTGCTCCTACCCAGCCCAAGTCCAGGAGAAGCCACACTGTCCAGGGACGCAGCGGGGGTGGGGTCGCCTCCGCTCCAGCCTGAATTACCAGCTCCACGGTGGCCGTTTCCCACGCGGGAGGCCCGATCCCCTCGCTAACCTGATTCTCAAGACCCCCTCGCCATGCCTTTCCCAGCAGCCCAGTGAATCCACGCAGGGCTCCTGAAACCTGCTCAGAGCGCCCTCCACCTCAGTGCTCCCACCCTGCGTTTCCCCATCTCAGAGGCTTCCTCTTCCAGGCAGTCTTCCCAGATCATTCTCCCCTGAACCCCAACACTGCTTTCTTGGTTCCTCGCCCAAGGCCCTGAGGACAAATGTTCTGTCCCTTCGGCCAGGCTCTGAGGTCCTTTCGGAATCCTTAAGGGCCTCATAGACTCTTTGCTGCACAAACACGAACTGACTATACCGACACCAGACGGTCAATCCACCATCTTTTCTCCCCTACGCCCTCTTAGAACCAGCACAAAGTCCCTTTCTGAACCCAGCTGTGCGTACCAGGCCTCACAATTACTCTGACCTAAGGAGCTAGCATGGAGATAAGCATGCGTCACACGCCAGGAACTGTTCTAAACACTTCTCCAGTCCTCTCGCTGACTTTATAAACTAGGTTCTGACATCATCCCCGTGTCACCTGCGAGGGAGCCGGGGCACTGAACCTGAGGGACTTGCTGAAGCTCATGCAGCCACGGCTTGGCGGAGCCGAGACTGGGAGCAGCTGCTCTGCCTCTCCAGCCGTCACCCCACACTGGGCAGACGGGCTGGGGGGCTCCCCGGGGGCCCTGGCTGCAGCTCACCTGAATGTTCCCCCAAACGCCGCGTGCATCCTGGAGACAGAGGCCAGGCAGGAAACGTTGGACACTCTCATCTGGCCGGCGGGACCCTGGGAGAGCTGCAGAGCCGTCCGGATGGACACCCCCTCGGCCGAGGCGTTGATGTAGCCCCCGTCATAGCTGCCGAAGGCGGTGACCGGTCACCCCCGCAGGGAGCCTCGCTCTTCGCTGCCCCCTCCCCGCTCCCACGCATCCCGATCTCTCTAAAGCTCACTTCTGCAGTTCATCAGGCAGTGACTGTACCCATGACACAGATGGAGAAATGGAAACTCAGCAAAGCCGTGGGGTCGCCCCCAGCCCCCAGCCTCGCTGGCCCTCCTGCCCCGCCCTCCGCTCCCCTGGGGGTGCTGGGTGCTCACAAGAACCAGTAGAGGAGCTGCCGTCGGAAGCGCAGCCCCAAGGAGGCGTTGGTGATCTGCAGCGCGAGCTCCTGCTCCGGCTGGAAGTGGAGCTCAGACCCCGTCAACTGCAGCTCCGTGACCTTCACGCTGTGCAAGGCAGGGTCAGACCCTGGGGCACAAAGAGGGACCCCCCCACCCACACACAGGAAATCCGCTCCCGCCTCCTCCACCCCAGGCCTGGGGAAGCTGGGCTGGGTGGAACGAATTCTTCCATGGCCTTTAGGGACCCAACTTGGACTTGGGGAGCTCGGGGCGGGGGTGCCCCTGACCCAAGTGTGGATAGTGAGCTTCACTCCATCTCTTGGAAGTTTTGTTGCTTGCATACCCTCCACTCCCTCTTCTTGGGGCTGCTACCCCTGGTCATTTAACCAAATCCTATCACCTAAGGTCCGCCCCCTATCGCAGTTCCCCTCCCGCCCCTGCTCCTAAACCACTCCTCCCATGAGCTCCAGCGCTGCCCTAGACTCCACTCCCATCCACTGGCCAGTCCCTGCCACCCTTCCGTGCTCTCTGGCCATTTGTCATCCACTGGTCCTGGCCTCTTCTAGTCTGGGCCACGCCCATCTTCCTGGCCCCGCCTATGCTGGCTGGCTGGGTCTTTCTAAGTCCCGCCTCCGGGCCGCCCAGCCTCTCCTGCGGCCCCGCCTCCGAGGCCCACTCACTCAGAGATGTTGTAGTAGAAGTGGCCCTCCCGTCCTCGCAGGTCGGGGATGGTGATGGCCTCCAGCTCTTGCTCCAAAAAGCGCAGCCCCTCCTGCTTCACTGAGGCGGCAGGAGACCCTTAGCTGGGGACGGCGACCCCACGCCCGGCCGCCCCCGCCTGCACCCGCGCCTTACCCAGCGCCAGCGCCTCGGAGGTGACGCGGATCTTGCAGCCGGGGATCTCCGCGTGAGCGCCAGCCAGCAGCGCTAGGAAGACGGCCCCGAAGAGGGCCATGGCGAGCGGGCCTGCGGGTGGGGTGGGGTCGCTAGAATCCACTCCTTGGACGTCCGACCATTAGAAGGGTCTAGCCCGGGGTGTTACCTTCCAGGTAACTTCCGGGAATTCGGGACCGATAATCCTGCCTCCATTTGGCAAAGGTAGACTGAGGCTCAGAGAGGCCACGCGACCTGCGCTCTGGTCCCAAAGGACTCGGGGCCCGGGGAGGAGGTGGTCTCGTTCCCGAGTGCAACCGCCGCGTGACGAGTCCCGACCTCCGGGGGTCCGGCCCCCCCACCCCCCCCACCAGCGCCTCCGCGCTCCTCTAGCTGCAGGCGGGTGCAGGCTTGCACGTTGCCATGGCAACAGCTGCACGCGCATTCCTGGGGGGTGGCTCGCGGTCTCCCAGGGCCCACGCCGAGGGGGGAGAGGAGCTGCCGCCGGACGGAGGACTCCCGGGTCCTAAGTCCTCCCCTTGGGGATCTGTGCCCCCCCCCCCCAGCTCTCCCGACCCTTCCCACCCCGAGGTCAGTGCACCGCAGGCTTGGCTCAGCGAGGGTCGGGGATGGGACAGGGACGCGCCCCAACTCACTTAGCCGTGGAGCTGGGGGCGGCGGGCTGCGCAGCGGATCCGGGCGGCGGGGTCTGGCGGGCAGCGGTGTCCCTGCCGGCTTTATAAAGCCGGGCCTCCGCGACCCCCCTCCCCTCTCCGCTCTCCCCTCCTCCCTCAGGGGCTGGGAGGGGATGAGGCGGGACGCTGGCAGCCGGGAGAGTGGAGAGGGCTGTTCGAGCCCCGTGACAAGCCCGACCGCTGTCGAGACAAGTGGGGGACCCAAGTGAGCAAGAGGGAGGGAAGTGCGGGGGTGGGTGTGTGGGCACGCCCGCCACCACCACCGCCACCGCCCAGCCCCAGCAGGGCTGCTTTCCGGGGACAGCCACCCATCTCCCTACGTGATCGTGTGCAAGCCCCTTCATGGGGTTACTGAGTCGGTTCCCCCTCCAGCAAAATGAGCAGGGGCATAGGAACTTTCATGGTAGCCCAGGGTTGGACACGAAGTCACCGCGGAGGCAGCGGTCTCTCTCTTCCCTCCCTGGCCATCATCTCCAGCCCTCTCCTTGCCCGGCCTTTGTCTCTGTGTCACTCCCTGGGGAACCTAAGGACCCAGGGACCTTTCCCACTTGGAAAAAGCAAGTGCAAGGGAGGGCTGTGGGCCCAGGAAGATACCCCCGGGGGACTGGAATTCTCCCAGGAGCGCTTGGCTCTTTCTGCAGGATTGTGGATGTTTTGGTTAACGCTTGGAGCTAGGTGCTCCTTCTCAGCTGCCCCCGGGACAGGGCACTAAAAGACCAAAGAGGAAGCAATCCCAACGCGCCCTGAGCGTGGCTTCTGCACCACGCCGCCAGCTGGGTAGGGACCCGCTCCTCATTCACCCAGGGCCTTCCGATTAGGAAACTCTTCCCAGGAACCCACTGAGCCCCGGGGAAGCCGGGCATGCTTGGTCGCCCAGACCTAGGGGAGCTCATTTACCTTTTAAACAACCTGCTGCGGACGCCACGCGCAGGCGGGAAATGAGAGGCTGAGGCAGCCCCGGGGTCCAACAGCAGCCAGTGGGTTTTACAGTCCAGAGAGTAAGAGCTTGCTGGACTCTGGCGCCTTAGGGACCACGTGCGCGTCCTGGGCTGCCGGTTCTTAGGTGTGCAGGAGCCACCATAGTGCCGGCACGTCATTGGTGTCAAGTAAATGCTGGCTGTTACGGTTAGGGGCAAGAAGCACAAGCAAGCAAGGCACAGAGGGTGGCTGTGGGGGCAGAGAAAGTGCTGGAGCGCTGAGGGCGGCCAGAGGAGGAAGTGCCTTTGTGCCTTTGAACTTGAGTAACCTTCCTAGAGCCTGGCTGGGCGGTGGCTTCATCTCATTCCCCGCACTGAAGTGAAACCTCTGTCTTTGTATCACTTTTGTCTCTTCCAGGGTGCCCAGCGAGCTCTACGTGCTGCTGTGGACCACTGACTTAACTCTTGGGCCTCAGTTTCCCCAACTGTGAAATGAACACCATCAAAGCGTTGCTGTGAGGATCCAATGAGTTCATTCACTGAGACAGTTTAGTGTGTACTTGGCGTTTGGTGGGGCTCAGAAAAATGTTGCTACAATCATTAGCATTATCAACCATTGGTAGCTTTTTTTTTTTTTGTAAAGATTTATTTTATTTATGTGAAAGACAGACTGAGAGAGAGAGAGAGATATATTCCATCTTCCGGTTCACTCTCCAAATGGCCAAAGCCAGGAATCTGGGCCTCCCGTGCGGGGACAGTGGGATTCGAACTAGCGTTCCAGCATGGGACACTGGCATCACACACAGCAGCGGAACCCGCTATGCCACAACGTCGCCCCCGGGAGTGGCTTTTTGTTTTACTGAGAAGAGACTCCCGCCTCCATGCCTTGGTTTCCAGGCATGGTTTAGGGCCCCCTGGTCCCTATCACAGAGGCTCAACCCTGCCACCAAAGCATGAAAGTCACCATCAACAGTGTCTAAAGGAAACACAGACTATACGGAGCTTACCAATTGCAGAAGAAACCATTCCTTTCTAAGGCTCAGTGTTCACATCTGTAGAATGGGGCTGTTGTGGTACCTGCCTACCTCCCTGGCAGTGAGGAGGGTTTGATGTGACTTAAGGACATGTAGTGTAGCACCTAGCTTACGGCACACCAAAGGGCTGCAGAAATTCCTCTTAGCTGGTTGTTCAACAGGAAGTGCTTGGGGCCTGTGCTGTGGCACAGCCGGTTAAGCTGCCGCCCGCAACACTGGCATCCCACATTGGCGTGCTGGCTGCTCCACTTCTGACCCGGCTCCCTGCTCGTGTATGTGGGAAAGCAATGACAATGACCCCAGCACTTGGGCTCCTGCACCCACGTGGGAGGCCTGGATGGAGTTTCTGGCTTTGGACCAGCCCAGCCCTGGTCACACTTTTTTTTTTTTTAATAGGATTTATTTGTTTATTTGAAAGGCAGAGTTCCAGAGAGAAAGAGATAGATCTTCCATCTGCTGCTTTACTTGCCAAATGGCTAGGGCTGGGCCTGGCAGAAGCCAGGAGCCCAGAGCCCCATCCAAGCACTTGGGCCAACTTCTGCTTCCCAGGCAGAGTAGCAAGGAGCTCAATGGGAAGTAGAGCAACTGGGACTCAAATCGGTGCTCATGTGGGATCTCTTTGTAGGCTGTGGCTTAACCCACTGCACACAACGCTGGTCCCTTTGTATTTTATTATTTTAAATATTCATTTATTTGAAAGGCAGAGTTACGGAGAAGGGGGAGAGGGAACCATCTACTGCTTCATTGCGGCCACGTGGGGAGTGAACCAGCAGATGGACGGTCTTGTCTGTGGCACCATCTCAGGCTCTGGCCTGTCGCCATTTTGTACAATAAGTTCCATTCTAAGCCCAGCCTGGCTCACTAGAAGTCAGGTGACCAAACGGCCCAACCACAAGTGTCAGCTCCACCCCCACCCTAACGGGATTCACTGCTCCCACTTCCTGACCTCCGCAAAGCTGTATCAGACCTGTTCTCCCAGCACAGGCCGCTGCGCTCTCCTGCACAGGGAGGCAGCCTGTCCAGTTTCCCCCACTCGACAGTAAAGCCTTCCGTTAACTATGGCATTTGGTGTATTTTGTGGTTCCCTTTTTTTTTTCTTTTTGGACAGGCAGAGTGGACAGTGAGAGAGAGAGACAGAGAGAAAGGTCTTCTTTTGCCGTTGGTTCACCCTCCAATGGCCGCCGCAGCTGGTGTACCGCGCTGATCCGAAGCCAGGAGCCAGGTGCTTCTCCTGGTCTCCCATGGGGTGCAGGACCCAAGCACTTGGGCCATCCTCCACTGCCTTTCCGGGCCACAGCAGAGAGCTGGCCTGGAAGAGGGGCAACCGAGACAGAATCCGGCGCCCCGACTGGGGCTAGAACCCGGTGTGCCGGCGCCGCAAGGTGGAGGATTAGCCTAGTGAGCCGCGGCGCCAGCCTCGTGGTTCCCTTTTTAAATTATTTTCTAAAAATTTATTTTTATTTATTTGAAAGAGTTATAGAGAGAGGCAGAGAGAGAGAGAGGTCTTCCATCTGCTGGTTCACTCCCCAGATGGCTGCAACGGCCAGAGCTGCGCCGATCCGAAGCCAGGAGCTCCCATTGGATCTTCCCATGTGGGTGCAGGGGCCCAAGGGCTTTTTTTTTTTTTTTTAAAGATTTATTTTATGTGAAAGACTGAAAGAGAGAGAGAGATTTTCTATCTGCTGGTTCACTCTCCAAATGGCCAAAGCAGAGAGCTGGATGGGAAGTGGAGCAGCAGGACTGGAACCAGCGCCCACGTGGGATGCCGGCACTGCAGGCAGCAGCTTTACCCGCTTTGCCACAGCACTGACCCCACATGGCTGCCTTCAGTCCTCTGTTTCTCCCTCCTCTCTGTAACTGTGCTTTTCAAATGAATACGTACACCTGAAAAGGAAGGAAGGAAGGAAGGAAGGAAGGAAGGAAGGAAGGAAGGAAGGAAGGAAGGAAGGAAGGAAGGAAGGAAGGAAGGAAGGAAGGAAGGGAGTCAACTTAAACCTCACAGCATCCTGTGAGACAAATATCACCCCCATTTTACAGAGGAGCAAACAAGGCCCAGAGAAGTTAAATAATGAGCTCAAGTCAGTCTGGCTCCAGACCCCATGTTTTAACTACTGCATTCTGTTTCGTTTTGTTTTCTAGCATCCCATTTAGTCATAGAAATCTCTTGAGACCCCTACTGTTGCCCAACAGACTGGGAACCGGAGGCGCAGCAGGAGGAAGTAACGTCCAAGTGGGTGAACACAGGTTCCAGGATTTCTGCCCAAGAGGTCGACAGGCATAGTCTGGCTGCCCTCACACACTCACACACACACACATACACACATGCACACACGCACACCACACACACGCACACACACACACACGCACACACACGCCGTCTCCAGTTGTGTTTTCTTTGGATCCCTGCATGGCTTGGAGAAGCTGCGTCAGCCCACCTCCTCTGCTGACCCAAGGCCCGCGCAGCTACCCCTGGGGAAGCGGCCCCTCCTCGTGCAGCCTGATGTGTCAGCAGTGTGGCTCCTGTGCCTGTGCCAGCAAGTGCGGCTGTGCTGGGAGACACAGCAGGAACAAGCAGTGGAGGTGGGAGGGGACAGATGTCAGAGCAGCAAGGGCTGATGACATTGCCCCAAACAGGCAAGTGGCCATCTGTTTCCAGGATGCAGCTGGACAAAATCGTCCCCGTGGGGTTGGCCCCTTACCAGCCCCGGGACTTCAGCGATCGGCCAGGACAGAGCTGGTGGCTGACCGCCTGCCTTCCAGAGCTTGGAGGCCTGGTCCTCGGGTATGTCCGTTTCCTTCCCGTTTCTTTCTTGCAGATCGGTCCCTTTCTCGGGGGAAGGAGCTGGTCCCAGGAGGCCCTTCCAGGTTGGAACCCCAGGGTGCTAAGGTTTGCTACCAGGTGCTGCTTCTCCAGGGCCCCAAATCATTCGCACCGTCATCTGCTGCCTCCCTATCTCTGCGCTGGTGTCTCCCCCTCTGAATTCCCCCTCCCCCTCCCCTCCTCCTCTCCCTCCCCCTTCTCCCTCCTCCCCTCCTCCTCTCCCTCCCCCTTCTCCCTCCTCCCCTCCTCCTCTCCCTCCCCCTTCTCCCTCCTCCCCTCCTCCTCTCCCTTCCCCTTCTCCCTCCCTCCCTCTCCTCCCCCTCCTCCTCCCCCTTCTCTTCTCCCTCCCCCTCCTCCTCCCCCTTCTCTTCTCCCTCCCCCTCCTCCCTATCTTCCTCCTCCCCTCTTCCCCCTCCCCTCCCCCCTCCACGTTCCAGCTTCCTTTCAGGTTTCTACACCTCTTTCAGCCTGCTGGTTGACTGACTCATGGGCGCCCCCTTCCCTGTGGTCCCCTGGGTCTCAGAACCCTCCGCGTTGTGTTTTCCTTATACTGGCCGGAGCTTTCCAGCTTCGCACAGTTCTGAGGGAGCCTGGTGGGGGGGGAGGCAGTGGCGTCTTGGCAGTGGCGTCCAGACGGTTGGATTTCCTAAGCCAGTAGTGTCATTTCAAAGTGACTGAAGGGAGGAGCAACAAGAGACAGGGACTTTTTCTTTTGATGACGAGAGGCCGCCATCTTCAGCCGGAGAGAGATTTCCTATCCACCAGTTCACCCAAATGCCAGCAACAGCCTGGTCTGGGCCAGTCTGAAGCCTGGAGCCCAGTGCTCGCTCCAGGTCTTCCTCCCACTGGGTGGCAGGGGCCTGAGGACTTGGGCCACGACCTGCTGCCTTCGGGGTGTGCATTGGCAGGAAGCTGGACTAGAAAGTGGAGCCCAGAAACTCCCCTAAGGGATTGCAGGTGTCGCGTCTGCCCCATAAACAATGGGTGAATTCAAGAACGGTGGTCATGCAGCGGGCGTCGTGGGCAGCTGGAGCGCCTGCTGGCGCCTGGCCACTCTTCTTCCCACCCAGCTTCCTGCCAATGCGTCTGAGAGGCAGCAGGCGATGGCTCAAGTGTCTGGGTCCCTGTCACTCACGTGGGAAACCTGGATAGAGTTCCAGGCTCCTGGCTGTAGTCTGGCCGAGCTCAGGCTGTTGTGGGCATTTGGGGAGTGAGCCAGCAGATGGAAAAATCTCTCTCTCTCTGTAACTCTGCTTTTCAAATAAATAAATGTCTTTAAAGAGCCGGCGCCGCGGCTCACTAGGCTAATCCTCCGCCTAGCGGTTCCGGCACTTCAGGTAATACTGCTCGTGGGGGAGCTGGATTCTGTCCCGGTTGCCCCTCTTCCAGCCCAGCCGTCCGCTGAGACTAGGGAGTGCAGTGCAGGATGGGCCCGGTCCTTTGGCCTGCCACCGCATGGGAGACCAGGAAAAGCACGGGGTTCCTAAACCTTGGTTCGAACAATCGGATAGTCAAGATGTCCCGGCGGCAGAGCCCCATCCGCGGCGGCCATTGGAGGGTGAACCAACGGCAAAGGAAGACCTTTCTCTCTGTCTCTCTCTCTCACTGTCCACTCTGCCTGTCAAAAAAAAAAAATGTCTTTAAAAAGAACAGGTGGCCATTACAGTTTGCAGACCCTTCAGAAGGAGGGCGGATTGGGTGGCCCTGGCCTAGTGCCCGGCTGAGCCTCTAAGCTGTCTTTGCTTCCTGCTGCTACCAATCATCTTGCATTTCTCCCGGGTTATCTGGAGTCAGTCTGCAGCCAAGAATGTCCTATTTTTCTAATCTCTTCAGAGGCCTGGATCCCTGAGGTTATGGGAGGCGTTTCTCAGGCTCTCAGGCGGCCGAACAGAAATCAAGGCCACGGCCAGGCCCCTTCCCTCTCCTTCCCACAGGCGGCTCCGTCCTGGGACTGAGCTCCTGAGCTCGTGACTGTGACTTCTCGGCAGGCACGGGGTTGGGGGATGTCTGCCTCCCACCCCGAGCCTGTGGGCTTCTGGGTATGTGAGAGGCCGCTGGCCAGCGTGAGGTCCTTCCCGGGGTCCCGCAGAGCAGGCCTGGAGTCAGGTCACCAGTTCTCAACCCTTCTGCACAGAAGCAGCTTTTAAAGTAGGGATATCTTTGTTTTGTTTTATTCTGAACACCTATGCCTGGGTCCCAACCCCAGGGTTGATGGGTTTGGGATGGAACCAGGTGTCAATGGTGTTTTTTTTTTTTTTTCTTCAAAGTTCTGCAGAAGGATTTTTTTTAAAAAAGAAGACGGGGCCGGTGTTGTGGCTCAGCCAGTCAGGTGGCCTCTTGCGAGGCCAGCATCACACGTGAGCACCTGGTCAAGTCCCAGCCACTCATCTTCCCATCCAGCTCCCTGCTAATGCGCTTGGAAAGCAGCAGATGATGGCCTGAGGGCTTGGGCCCCTGCCACTCACCTGGGAGACCCGGATGGAGTTGCAGCCTCCTGGCCTCGGCCATTGTGGCAATTTGGGAAGTGAACCAGAGGATGGAAGATCTCTCTCAGTCTCTGTAACTCTGCCTTTCGAATAAATAAATCAATCTTAAAAATAAAAAAGAAATAATGAGTGTTGGCAAGGACATAGAGACACTAGAACTTTCATACGTCACTGGTGGGAGTGTAAAAAGTCAGAGCTACCTTGGAAAACAATCGGTCAATGTCGCTTGGTGCAGCGGTTAAGCCCCGGCTTGGGACGCCTGCCTCCATACTGGAGTGCCTGGGTTCAGGTCCTACTTCTGCTCTCCATTCCACCTTCCTATTAATGCACATTTTAAAAATATGTATTTATTTATTTGGAGAGTTACAGAGGGAGAGAATTAGAGAAAGAGATCCACTCCCCCAAAGGCTGCAACGGCCAGGGCTGGGCCAGGCTGAAGCCAGGAGTCAGGAGCTTCCTCCAGTCTCCCACAGGGGTGGCAGAAGTCCAAGGACATGGGCTCTTTCTGCTCTTGCCCAGGCCCATCAGCAGGGAGCTGGATCAGAAGTGGAGCAGCTGGGACGTGAACCAACACTCATACGGGATGCCGGCCCGCAGGCAGAGGTTTCACCCACTGTGCCACAGTGTCGGCCCTTCAGTGCACATCTTGGGAGGCAAAGGTGATGCCTCAAGAACTTGGAAGACGGGTGGAGCGCCAGGTCCTGGCTTTGGCCTGGCCCAGCGCTGGCTGTTACAGGCATCTGGGGACTGAACCAGTGGGTGAAGATCTCCGTCTGCATCTGTCTCTTCCTCTCTGCCTTTCAAATAAACTAAAATAAAGAAAAATATCTGAAGTTAAACATAAATGTATCATACAGCAATTCCACTCCTAAGCATCTACTCATTAAAGAGGAGAATGTGTGTTCACCCAGACACGTGGCTGTGCTGTTCATAGCAGCACCATTCACAATGGCCAGAAAGTGGATGCAATCCAAATGTCTACCAGTTGGTAAGCAGAGGAACACAGTGTGAATGTGGTCTATCCGTGCAACGGAGCCCTCTAATCAGCAATGGACACCTACACGGCGGCACCTCGGGAACACGGTGCAGAGCGGGAGACGCACGCTTTCCCACGCGCTGCGTGACTCCACTTACGTGAGATGTCTGCACAGGCCGATCTCTAGCGACAGAAGGCGGATCGGTGAGCCCGGGGTGCAGACACAAGAGAGCTTTGTTTACTAAGGATCGTTGATTTGCGTACCTGAGACAGGCGAACCTCATGCCGTGTGAGTTACACCACAAGCACCCTTCCCAGACAGGGTTGAGGGACCCAGGCCCAGTTGGGTGTCTTCCCCTCCCTCCTTTCTATGTCAAAAGTCCTCCTGATCTCAGACTTCCGGGAAGCCGCCAGCTGGCACCCTGGAGGCTGCTGCTACTGTTGCTGCTTCTCCCTTTTTTTTTTTTTTTTTTTTTTTTTTTTGAGAAGTCTGGAATTTAGTTCTGCAGACTCAGCTCATCTGGATGTAGACAGCCTGGCCCTTGGCCATTCTGTCTGAAGTACAAAAATGGGCACAGCTGTGAGAGACCCAGATGGAGTTCTGGGCTCTTGACCTTGACCTGGTCCAGCACTGGTTGGCATGGCCATTTGGAGAGTGAATCAATGATGGGAGATCTCTCTGTCTCTGTTTCTCTTTGTCACCCTTCCTTTCAAATAGATGGCAATAAAACAACATTGACATTTGAAATGGGCACAGCAGGGGCCAGCGTTGTGGCACAGCAGGTTATTCTGCCACCTGCAACACTGGGTTCTGTAGTGCAGCGCCAGTTCAAGTCCTGGCTGCTCTGCCTCTGACCCAGCTCCCTGCTCACGTCCCTGAGAAAAGCAGCAGAAGATGGCCCCAGGGCTTGGGCCCCTGCCACCCACAAGACAGAACTGGATGGACTTCCAGGCTCTTGGCTTCAGCCTAATCCATCCTTGGCCTGCCCTTGTGGCCGTCGGACTGAACCAGCAGACTGAAGAGCTCTCTCTCCCGACTCTGTCTCTATCACTTTGCCTTTCAAATAGATAAATAAATCCTTTTCTCTTAAGATTTATTTATTTATTTATTTATTTATTTTTTGACAGGCAGAGTTAGAAAGTGTGTGAGAGAGAGAGAGAGACAGAGACAGAGACAGAGAGAGAAAGGTCTTCCTTCCGTTGGTTCACCCCCCAGATGGCCGCTACGGCTGGCGCTGCACCGATCCGAAGCCAGGAGCGAGGTGCTTCTCCTGGTCTCCCATGTGGGTGCAGGGCCCAAGGACCTGGGCCATCGTCCACTGCCTTCCTGGGCCACAGCAGAGAGCTGGACTGGAAGAGGAGCAACCAGGACAGAACCGGCGCCCCAACTGGAACTAGAACCCGGGATACCAGTGCCGCAGGCAGAGGATTAGCCTAGTGAGCCGCTGCACTCGCCTATTTATCTATTTGAAAGTCCAGGGGTCGGCCGGCGCCGTGGCTCACTAGGCTAATCCTCCACCTTGCGGCGCCGGCACACCGGGTTCTAGTTCCAGTTGGGGCGCCGGTTCTGTCCTGGTTGCTCCTCTTCCAGTCCAGCTCTCTGCTGTGGCCCAGGAAGGCAGTGGAGGATGGCCCAGGTCCTTGGGCCCTGCACCCCATGGGAGACCAGGAGAAGCACCTGGCTCCTGCCATCGGATCAGCGCGGTGCGCCAGCCGCAAGCGCGCTGGCCGTGGTGGCCATTGGAGAGTGAACCAATGGCAAAAGAAGACCTTTCTCTCTCCCTCTCTCTCTCACTGTCCACTCTGCCTGTCAAAAATTAAAAAAAATTTTTTTCAAAAAAAAGAAAAGAAAAGAAAAAAAAGAAAGTCCAGGGGTCAGCGCTGTGGCGCAGTGGGTTAAAGCCCTGGCCTGAAGCGCCAGCATCCCATATGGGTGCTGGTTCTAGTCCTGGCTGCTCCTCTTCTGATCCAGCTCTCTGCTATGGCCTGGGAAAGCAGTGGAAGATGGGTCAAGTCCTTGGGCCCTTGGACCCTCGTGGGAGACCTGGAAGAGCCATCAGGCGCGTGTGCTTGGGGCTTCGAGACCACCGACCTCTTGTCCGTCTGGGGAGTGATCCCCGCCCACAGCAGATCTCTCTCTCTCTCTCTCTCTCTCTCTGCCTCTCTCTGTAACTCAGTTTCTCTAATAAATAAAATAAATCTTTAAAAATAAAAAGATAAACTTTCCCTTAAAAAAAAAGAATGTCCAAGTTACACAGAGAGAAGGAGAGGCAGAGAGAGAGAGAGAGAGAGAGAGAGAGAGAGAGAGAGGTCTTCCATCCACTGGTTCACTCTCCAGTTAGCCATAATGGCTGAGGCTGTGCCAATCTGAAGCCAGGAGCCAGGAGCTTCTTCTGGGTCTCCCACGAGGGTCCAAGGGCCCAAGGACTTGACCCATCTTCCACTGCTTTCCCAGGCCATAGCAGAGAGCTGGATCGGAAGTGGAGCATCTGGGACTTGAACTGGCACCCATATAGGATGCCGGCTCTACAGGCAGTGGCTTTACCAGTTATGCCACAGTGCTGGCCCCAATAAATAAATCGTAAAAAAAAAAAAAATTTAAAAAGGTGGAGGGGACCACCACAGGTGCCCTCACCCTCCTACCCTGATAACACCAACCACTACCTGGGCTGCTGAAACCCAACCCAGGACCAGGACTGCATCTGAATTCCAAGGTCATCACAAGACCTGAACTTGCCTTGTTTCACATCCAAGCTCTGGTCGACCAGTTATCCAAACACACCAGGCTTTTCCATGCCTCTGGACCTAGCACAGGCTGCACCCTTTCACTTCCCTTGCCTGCCTTGAAAATCCTATTCTTCCTACCAGACTCAGTCCATTGCTATCTCCTTCTTTGTATACCCCCACCCTACCCCACGATCCCATTAAAGCCCGTCCCTTCCTGTGGCAGAGGGTTTGGTTATGGGTCGGCCTCCCGCACTGCTTTGGGGGTGCCCTAAAGACAAAACCTGTCTCATCTATCGCTTGTTCTCAAGGTTCTAGGATAGGCCTCAGCATGTGTCAGGTGGGGGAGGGCACCTGGCTTAAGATGCCTGCATTCCAGACGGGGGCCCTGGGTGTGAGTCCGCTCTGCTTCTGATCCAGCTCCCTGCTCATGCGCACCCCGGAGGCAGCAGGGGATGGCTCCAGTACCTGAGTCTCCACCACCCACGTGGGCCAGCCAGACTGGATTCCTCCTGGCTTTCTCCTGGCTCTGGCCGGCATTTGGGAAGTGAACCAGTGGAAGGGAGATCTCCCTCTCTCTCCTCTTCTGTCTCCCTCTCTCTGCCTTTCCAGTGAATAAATACATAAAAAAAAGAGAAATAAATGGGAACATCATACCACATGAGAAACGTCCAGGGCCAGGAGACCAATGGAGACGCCCCGGACTCCTCAGCTATTCTTGGTCTAAATGGCTCCTCTCATCTGCTCCCAGAAGGGCCAGGGCCGCTCCCTGTGGGAACCACAGCGTGGTGCGGAAACCTCCCTTCCACAGCCTTCCTGGGGCCTGGCCTGTTTGCCTTGGGAAGGGCCCTCGTGCAATTTAAACTGCAGAGTGGGGTCTGCAGCCCAGCTGGGCGGGGGCCTCCCTGCCTCTACCGCCAGGACCTCGGGGGACGAGATGTGCATGGTGGCGGAGGGCGAGGGCGTTCAATAGATGGCCCTCGGAGACAGGAGCGTGGAGCCCAGGCCTCAGCCTGGCTTCAGACTGGGGTCCTCGGAGGCCTTGGCACAGATCCCAGCCAGGAGCAGCTACATGACTCTTGGGGCTCAGTGCAGAAGGGAGATGCAGGGTCTTTGTTAAAAGTTTTTAGGGTTTTAGGGGCCAGTGCTGTGGTGCAGTTGGGCTAAGCCACCGCCTGTGACACAGTCATCCCATACCAGAGTACAAGTTCGAGTCCCAGCTGCTCCACTTCCAATTCAGCTCCCTGTTTAGGAGTCTGGGAAGGTACTCTTGCCACCCAAGTGGGAGACCCGGATAGATTTCCTGGCTCCTGGCTCTGGCCTGGCTCAGCCCCAACCATCACAGAATTGGGGACTGAACCAGTAGATGCAAACTCACTTGCCCTCTCTCTCTGCTTCTTCTGTCACTTTGCCTTTCAAACTAATAAATATATTTTTTTTAATTACTAGGAATTTTGGGGCTGGCGCTGTAGCGCTGTGTTGCAGCAGGTTAATCCCCTGGCTGCAGTGCCAGCATCCCACATGGGTGCCAGTTCGAGTCCCGGCTGCTCCTCTTCCAATCCAGCTCCCTGCTATGGCCTGGGAAAGCAGTAGAAGATGGCCTAAGTCCTTGGGCTCCTGCACCCACGTGGGAGACCCAGAAGAAGCTCCTGGCTACTGGCTTCAGACCTGCTGAGCTCCAGCCATCGTAGCCATCTGGGGAGTAAACCAACGGAAGGAAGACCTCTCTCTCTGTCTCTCCCTCTCACTGTCTGTAACTCTACCTCTCAAATAAATGATAAATCTTTAAAAAATTACTAGGATTTTTAAGATTTCTACCTTCAGCAGAAACATGAAAGCAAGCACAAGGCCTTTCTAACCCACGAAGCCAGCTAACAATCTGCTTATCCCAGCGACTCTCCCAGCCAGACCAGCCATCTGGCAAGGCTTCCTCGCCCAGAGAAGTTGCCGGAGCACTTGACAGCCCAGGACCCTCGCTCACCGGGCCATCCTCATCTTGCGAGTCGGGGACTCCAAGCCACTGACAGATTCTGCCCCAGCAGGCAGCTTTTGCTTTCCTTGGCAACCCCGGAGGGCGCTGGCCTGCTGTTCCCACCACAGAAACCAGAGCCTAGAATAGAAACGGGGTACCTGAAAGTTGCCCACGGTCAGCAAATAATTAGAGTGTTTCACATCATTGCGCCTCACACGGGGGCTGTGGGGGAACCAGCCCCACGCTGGCCTGCAGCAGCCTGCAGCCTGCAGAGGGTGGGCACTGTATGCACAGGCCACCGTGGGGAGGGAGTCAGGGAGGGCTGACTGGTAGAGGTGACGTATAGGCTAAGAAGTGAAGGCTGGAGGCTGGCATCGTGGCGCAGCAGGCTAAGCCATCTCCCGCAACGCCGGCGTCCCATATGGGTGCTGGTTTGTGTCTCAGCTGCTCCACTTCTGACCCAGCTTCCTGCTAACATCTGGGAAGCAGCAGATCGCCCAAGGGCTCGGGCTCCCGCACCCACATTGGAGATGTGGATGCAGCTCCTGGCCCCCGGCTTGGGCCTGGCCCCAAAGCTATTGCAACCACTTGGGGAGAGAACTAGCGGATGGAAGAGTGATCTCCTCTCTCTCTCTCCCTCTGTAACTCTGTTTCTCTATAACTCTGCCTTTCGAATAAATAAATCATTTAATTTTTTTTAAAGATTTGAAGGCTGAATTAGGCAAAGAGGGGAACAAGAGCAACCACATACACAAAAGGCCAAAGGTCAAGAAAGAAGCTGGCACAATTAAAGAAATTACAAGTAGTTCAAACTGACCGGGAGCAGGTTGAGAAGGGACGCTACTGTCAGGATCCTGAGTAAGATAGATATATGTAAAGGGTGTGGCACAGGGGCCGGCGCTGTGGCGTAGCAGGTAAAGCCACCGCCTGCAGTGCCAGCATCCCATATGAGTGCCAGTTCTAGTCCCGGCTGCTCCTCTTCCAATCCAGCTCTCTGCTATGGCCTGGGAAAGCAGAAGATGGCCCTAGTCCTTGGGCCCCTGCACTCGCCTGGGAGACCCAAAAGAAGCTCCTGGCTCCTGGCTTCAGATCAGCCCAGCTCCGGCTGTTGCGACCAATCGGAGAGTGAACCAGTGGATGGAAGACCTCTCTGTGTCTCTGCTTCTCTGTGAAATCAGTCAATCAATCTTAAAAAAAATAAAAAAATAAAAAAAAAATAAAAAAGGATTGTGGCACACAGCGACCAGCAGGGCGCAGTGGGTTGAGCTGCTGCCTGGGACACGTGTATTCCACATCGGAGTGCTGGTTCCAGTCACTGCTGCTCCACTTCCTATGCAGCTCCCTGCTCATCACCTGGGAAAGCAGTGGAAGATGCCCCAGTGTCTGGGCTCCTGCGCCCACATGGGAGACGCAGAGGGAGCTCCAGGTTCCTGATGGGCCTGGCCAAGCCTTGGTTGTTGCAAACACTTGGGGAGTGAACCATGGATGGAAGATATGTCATTCCGCCTTTCAAATGAATAAACGCTTAAAAGGATGGAGACCGTGGGGCTGTAGGCTGGATGAAGGGCCAGAGGAGAAGCAAGGGTGGAGGGCAGAGGCCCGGTTGGAGACCGGAGTTACGGTGGACAGGGGGCCCATATGTCCTCAACAACAGAATACACAGTGAGACAAAACACGGTGCTGGGGACAGCTCACCACAGCTACATCTGACAACACTCACGAGTCTTACAAGTGCAAGTTAAACACAAGAAGCTGGACACAAAGTAGTGCACAACTCCATTTATGTAACGTTCAAAGAACAGGCAAAAGCAAACCCTAGGGATTCCCACGCAGGTGGCACCATTATTAAAGCAAGGAAGCTGGGATCGCCAAAGGAGTCGAACAGCAATTACCCTGCAAGCGCGTGCGCTGGACTCTAGTACCTTGGCCAGGGTGATGTGGACTCACCTGACCACTTGGTCATAAACCCTAACACTTCACACGAATGTTTTGTGTGCTTTCCTGTATGTGTATTATTATTATTTAAAAAAAAATTTTTTTTTGACAGGCAGAGTGGACAGTGAGAGAGAGAGACAGAGAAAGGTCTTCCTTTTGCCGTTGGTTCACCCTCCAATGGCCACCGCGGCCGGCGCGCTGCGGCCGGCGCACTGCGCTGATCCGATGGCAGGAGCCAGGAGCCAGGTGCTTTTCCTGGTCTCCCATGGGGTGCAGGGCCCAAGCACCTGGGCCATCCTCCACTGCACTCCCTGGCCACAGCAGAGAGCTGGCCTGGAAGAGGGGCAACCGGGACAGAATCCGGCGCCCCGACCAGGACTAGAACCCGGTGTGCCGGCGCCGCTAGGCGGAGGATTAGCCTAATGAGCCGCGGCGCCGGCCCTATTTTTTTTTTTTTTTTTTTTTTTGACAGGCAGAGTGGACAGTGAGAGAGAGAGACAGAGAGAAAGGTCTTCCTTTGCCGTTGGTTCACCCTCCAATGGCTGCCGCGGCCGGCACACCGTGCTAATCCGAAGGCAGGAGCCAGGTGCTTCTCCTGGTCTCCCATGGGGTGCAGGGTCCAAGCACTTGGGCCATCCTCCACTGCACTCCCTGGCCACAGCAGAGAGCTGGCCTGGAAGAGGGGCAACCGGGACAGAATCCGGCGCCCTGACCGGGACTAGAACTTGGTGTGCCAGTGCCGCAAGGCGGAGGATTAGCCTAGTGAGCCGCGGCGCCGGCTTGTATGTGTACTTTAAAAAAAAAAAATAGATTTTGATTATTTGAAAGGCACAGAGAAAGAGGGACGGGGAGGAGGGGGAGAGAGAGTGAGCTTCATCTGCTGGTTCACTCCCCAAACGGCTACAACGGCCAAAGCTGAGCCAATCTGAAGCCAGGAACCAGGAGTTTCTTCCAGGTCTCCCACATGGGTGCAGGGGTCCAAGCACTTGGGCCATCCTCTGCTGCCTTCCCAGAGCATAGCAGAGAGCTGGATCGCAAGTGAAGCAGCCAGGACTTGAACTGGCGCCCATACGGGATGCTGGCCCCACAGGCTGTGGCTTTACCTGCTACGCCACGGCCCTGGTCCCATAGGTGCTGTACTTAATAAATGATTTTAAAAATAACGGGGCTTCAAGCCGGTGCAGCCGTAGCATCCTTCTGGGCACCAGTTCAAGTCTTATCTGCTCCACCTCAGATCCAGCTCCCTAATGCGCCTGGGGAAGCAGCGGAAGACAGGCCAAGTGCTGGGGCCCTGCACCCTCGTGGGAGATCGGGATGGAGCTCCTGGCTCCTGGCTTCAGCCTGGCTCTGCCCTGGGTGTGGTGGTGCCCTCGGGAGTGAGCTAACAAAGGGAAGATGACTCTTTATTTTTCACATAAATAGAAGTTCAAAGGTGAGGAGCAGTGTTGACCACCTGGCTAGAAAAGCCTGCAAGATCCGGCCACGGAGACGCCCAGGGCCCCCGCGTGGAGGCAGACAAGCTTCCCTCCTTGTCCCGTTTCCTCTCTCTTGAGAGAACAGGGTGTTTAATGGAACTGGCGCTGGGTACCCCGGGCACGCGGCCCCAGTCCTGCTGCTGGATTGTGTATTTCTTCACCCGAGCCTTGCTGCCAGCGCCTCTCCCCGGGGCAGATCTGAGGCAGGAAATGCGTCTCTCAGGGCTCCCTGGCAGAACTGGCACAGGCACGGGACGGGCGTGCAGGGGGCAGTTGGCACCCTGATGATCAATTTGAAAACACAACAGGACAGGTAAGCATCCATCACTGTGGGCGTTCACACGTCAGTGACTCAGGACGGGCTGGGGGTTGTGTCCCGTCGGTCTCCAGTGAGAGCGGTACACGTGACTGATGTCACCGGTGCATTTCTGAGGAGGCACTGTCGGTGTTTATCCCAGGCCCACGGGAACCAACCAGGGCTGTCCTAGCTGAAGCTGGACAAGGCCGTCTCCCTGGGTGGGCCCAAGGTATCTGGTTTCCAAAAAAAAAAAAAAAAAAATTTTTTTTCTTTTTTTTCATTTTATTCGAAAGGCAGAGACACAGAGGTCTTCTACCTGGGTTCACTCTCCAAATGCTCCCAACAGCTCAGGGCTGGGCCAGGAGCATGGGACTCCATGCGGGTCTCCCATGTGGGTGACAGGGACCCAAGCGCCTGCACCTGCTGCCTCCCAGAGTAGCACTTCGGCAGGAAGCTGGAATTGGAAATGGGAGGCAGGACTCGAACCCAGGCACTCCGATACAGGGTGGGGACATGTTCAGCAGCGACCCAGCGCTGTGCAGGCCCGGGAACCCGGTTTCCAGGCCTCCCACCTGTGCCGTGAGCTCAGGGCGGGGCTTCCGCGGGGCTCAGGTGCGCCCGCACCTCCATCAATCGGCACTTAGGCATGCCAGGCAGCGGGCAGAGATCTTTGGCAAAGATCACCTCCGCTAATTCTCCCCAAACCTTTCCGAGGCCGGCGGATGGCTCTTCTACGGCGCAAGTTTGCAGAGGTGGACTCCTTCAAGGCCACAGGTGTAGGGTGGAGCGGCGGGGGCTGGACAGCTCTAGTTCTGTCACCATCCATACCTCTGCCTCCGTGGCTGAGCACCCCCCCCCCGCCCCTAGCTGCACAGAGACCCCCACCCGGGGGGGCACCTGCAGCCTGCGACTCCACAGAGGCCATCCGACGGCAGGTGGCACGCCTGTCCTCAGCTGCCACTGGGCGGTCGCATTACCACGGAGGTCAGAAGTGTGTGAAGCTACTCCTCTGCCTCCTACTGGCCCCTACCAAAGAATCCCTGCAGGGAGGCGGCCAAGTCGCACCCAGCCGCTGTCTCCGTCCAGGCCTAACCTCTGCACGGGTCTCAGCGAGGC